GACCACCTTGCTCTTAACTGACCTTCTACCTCTACAGTTTCATTTCGTTCTATCTTTTCCTATTCTTCCAAGGTGCGACAATGGAAGGTTACCAATTCATGAGAAGGTAGAAGTATACTCTCTATATTTCAATATATATTATTAAAACAACCTGACTCAAGAAAACATAATTATTAGCCATAATGCCATATACTGAATGTTAATAATGTATAAGTGGGTGTGCTAAACACTTTGCCACAACATTAACCCCAACAGTAATATGTATGACATGAGTATTATTAACCTATTTTACTAATATTTTTAACTAACAAGTACAAAACTGCTGGCTTCAGAGATCATTTGGACCTCTATTATCATTTTACATTTCAAAATAAGGAAAACAAGAAGAGACAAAAAGATATTCTTGCTATGTAGGTGGATGGCTGGTATGGAAAAATAAAACATCACAAAGAAAAATACACCCTCAAAATGACAGTTTTTAAGGAAAAATCCTATATTGTTAACAAGTGGTCATATTTCAGATTATCACACTACCAACCTGAAGGAATAGTACAGCAGCTAGGTTAGATTTCTGGCATAGGGTCACTTAAGAACCACAGGAGTAATTCTGAGTGCAGAGATATGAGTAACCCTTGAACATTGCGAGGTATAGCCCAAAATCTGAAAAATGTTCTTATTATCACACACATGTAAGACATACATGCACTCTCTCTCATGCTCAGTGTAGCACTGTTCACAAAACCCAAGACATGAAAATCACTGACTAAATTGCAACCTTAAAGAAAAAGATGTATAAAGCAACCAAGTCCTTGTAATAACAGTATTTAGTTCAATAATGGCTGGATTTTCCCACTCAATATTATAATGACAGAGAGATGCAATATATTCAGCCATAAAAATTAAGAAATCCTGCCACCTGCAACAACATGGATGAACCGGAGAGCGTGTTATATGAAATAAGTCAGCGCCAAAAGACTTCCTTATGTGCGTGCAGTCATAAAAATATCAAATTCATAGAAACAGAGAGTAAGGATGGTGATCTCCAGGGATTGTGGAAATGGGGAGATACTGGTTATTTACAGTCTTTTTAGTTAGAAAACGAATGAGTGCTGTGGATCTAAGTTACAGCACTGTGTCCACAGTTACACTCAGTATCTGACAGTCGCTATGAGAGCAGAGCTTTTGTGCTCTCATAACAACAATACTGAAAATGGCAAGTATGTGAGATAGAAAATGTTAACCTTATGTGATAAACATTCACAGCACTTACATGTACTATATCATATTGTATACATTAAACTTAATGTTATATTTCAATAGTATCTCAATAAAGCTGGAAAAAAGATGTCATTAGATGATCAAAAGAAATTAGGCCAAAGAGGAAGGTTTTTGGCTAAGTGGGAGAAAAAAATAGTCTTTTGTTCCTGAAAGCAGTGGGGAAATTAAAAACTATTATATTTATTGCTACAGTTACTATTTATTGACTTCATGATATCAAATACAAATGTTATCTCCAAAACTTAACAACTCAAATCCATTTCTTGGGTCAAAACCAGTGCTGCTCTTAAATTTTTTCTGCAAAAGTCCTTGCAGAATTTTGACATCACTGTTCCTTCTCATGGTAGAAAGATTAAAAATATTCAGGGAAAAGAGATATTAAGAAACATACACAGTCTTAAACTTGGGATCAGAGTAAGAACATTATTTGAACTGCAAATACCACGTATTTATGTGCCTCATTTAAAATCTTCACTTGTGGGCCCTGAAGGCAATTCCACAACCAGTTAACCAGAATGGAACTCATCTATCATCTTCATCTTAATTCACTTCCCTTTTGCTTCAACATCTCTCAGCCTCAGTGTTAGTCACAGAGGGAAGAAAATAAAATTCCAGAATTAACTGCTTGTTCTTATTACTACCATTATTTTCATTTTTACCAAAATGCAAGTGCTAATATGTAGTAAGTAAGGTAAAGTAAAGTAAAGGCCCTCCCGTTGATCATCGATTTGCTCGAGCGGGCCCAGTAACGTCTCCATTGGAGACTTTGTTGTTACTGTGTCTGGCATATCGAACACTCTCGGTAGCTTGCCGGGCTCTCCGAGAGGGGCGGAGGAATTGAACTCGGGTCGGCCATGTTGGCCGCTTGTAAGGCGAATGCCCTACCCGCTGTGCTATGGAGCGATAGCACAGTGGGTAGGGCGTCTGCCTTGCACGCAGCCAACATGGCCAACCCGAGTTCGATTCCTCCGCCCCTCTCGGAGAGCCCGGCAAGCTACCGAGAGTATTCGATATGCCAGACACAGTGACAATAAAGTCTCCAATGGAGACGTTACTGGGCCCGCTCGAGCAAATATGTAGTAGTCAACCTGAATTGTTAATTCCTATATAATAATGAATTAAAAGTTTTCAAATCAGACAGCAATTTATCACCTATATTTCTAAATCAAGTTAATGTTATTTAAAATCTTCATTTATCTTCAAACTGAGCCCTCTTGCTCTTATATAAACAAGGTGTCTCTCTTTATTTTACTGTGCAAACAGCACAGTAAAAATGTTGTGAGGAAGCAATCAGTTTCAGAGGGAGCTGGAAATAACAACACCATGGCAGAGTAGGGATGTACATATTCATAAAACCAGAATCCTTGCCTTGATTGTGGGAGAGGCTCTTGATTCAATTCCCAGCATCACACAAACATACAAAACTTTACGGAAATGAAAATCTCTCAATCCTAAAATGTTCTATCATTTGGAGACTCTCCACTTCCCAAAGAGATGTGTAAGGTCCTTTTGTCTCAATACATTTTTAATGGGTAAAGAGAAGACTTTCAATAAGGCAAGGATGAAAGAGGAAAACTGTTAAGAACCACCCACAGGGAAAAACAGTGGATTAAAAAAAAACATTAATTTGAAAAAATACGCACACACCTGTGTTCACAGCAGCACTTAGTACACAAGCCAGATATGGAAAGAAATCAAATGTCCAATGACAGACGAATGGATAAAGACCTTGTGGAATGTATACACAATGGAATACTGTGAGAGGTGAAGACATCTTGCAGTTTACTGCAATTTAAATGGAACTAAAGGATCGTGTTGAGCAAAATAAGTCAGAGCGGGGAAGGACAAACACAAGATGATCTTACTCTGTAGTACACAAAATAACAAAAGAAGGGAATAGATAGTATCAAAGAATGACAAGAAATGTTTACAATCTCTGGATTTAAAGGCTCTGGATTACAAAATTCCAATTACCAAGCAATGGAGGTATGAGTGAGTGGGCAGGAGAGGGAGAGGTGGACTAGAAGTAACCTAAGGACAGTTGTGGAGGGTCTTGAGAATTATAGAGAGTGTAGTGACTTAATTATTTACATAAAAAACATAAAATTTAACACTACTGTAACCATGTCCCTTAAGTTAGTTTTTTTTTAAAAAAAGCAGAGAGTAAAGTCCAAAATAGCTTCCATTTAAGAACAAAGCACAAAATAATATAATACCATCCCATTTCAGTAAAAGCTAATTCAGTAACAGGATTAATTATGGTGCTGGGAATCAGAATGGTGGTTACTTCCTGGTTGAAAGGGGAAGGTACTGATAGGAAGGTGGCCGACAGAACGTTTGGGGATGCTACAAATATTCTACATGTTGATTTAGGCAGTGATCTTATGAATGTGTACATGCATAAAAATTTATGTACCTTCCCCTTAGCTGGGGTCAGGGGACAGCTGAAAGGAATGGGGTGCATTCTTTAAACATAAGCCGGAGTTTGATCTCCAGCACCATATGATCCTAAAAGCAAGACATAGCCTTCATACTCAAGCACTGTCAGTTCTAAGCAGCACATCACTGGGCCTAACCACTGAACCTATAGGCCCACATACCTGAGCCAAGTTTCACCAGCAGAATCTCAACACTGCCAAAATGTTGGCTAATATCTAAGATTTGGACACTTTTTTAGGTACTAATTCCTCAAAGTCCAATTAAGGGGAGTGGGGTTCAAATCAGGACAAGGTTAGAAAAATTCTATTTGGTTCTGGGCTGAAGCGGTAGTACAGTGGGTAGGGTGTTTGCCTTGCACACAGCTGACCCAGGTTCAATTCCCAGCATCCCATATGGTCCCCTGAGCACCACCAGGAGTAATTCCTGAGTGCAAAGCCAGGTGTGACACACCTATGCATCACCGGGTGTGACTCGAAAAGAAAAAAAAGAAAAAGAAAAAAATTCAATTTAAATCCTTGAAGCAACTTTTCTGTTTTTACATTCTGTTGCCTATCATATACTTCTGTATGATGAGGAACAGTAAAGGTAACTTCAGTGTATCTTTGAAAGCAATTTGAAAGATGGAAGATCGACAGCCTGTGTTACCTTCTGCATCTAGGTCTAAGGGAACCATAAACTGAAAGAACAGTGAGCAGTCGTAGCCAGGTGCCTGACACAGGGACAAGAGAACATGAAGAGACTAAAGCTAACAAGGCAACAAAAAATACCAGAAGTTCTCCGCTCTTCCTTGTGCTAGTTCATAATTCAGCTACTTACACAATGCAATTATCTGATGCCAATTTACATTAAATTACTGTGATTTCTCCGAAGGAAGTTTTGGAAATCATTTCCCCCAAAATTAATTATTAAATCCAATTTTAGGCATAGGAAATATACACTCTATTATATCCATCAATAGCTCTAAAAAATATCAAAGGAAAAACCTGTGAGTTATGTGCTAGTAGTATACACTCCATTTTATTGCTATCTTAAGTTGTTAGAACCATGCGCTGTGCTTCTCTGACAAATTTATGGAAGATGTTTCTGAGAGTCACAAAGGGGGTATGTGAAACCAATGAACAAACAAACCTAGATTAAGCAAACAATCCTTTCTGATACCCCCACTCAACAACAACAACAACAACAACAACAACAACACAAAGTGATGTAATGGTCAATCTAAGACAAAGAAAATATAATGGACACGGCCCAATAACCAGTAAAGCAGATGCCTTCCTTCTCACCTTTATCACGATCATAGAGTAAATCTTCTGTTGAGCAAGGGCTACCATCATGGGATTCCGGGGGACAAAAGGGAGAGATACAGGGGGAATGGCTGCTGCAGCTACTGCTGCGCTCCTGGACAGAAGGGGTCTGCGTGTCAATGCTGCGCGTGCTGCTGCTCCGGTAGTGGGCAGGGAGTGGAGCTCTCCGACCATCCGGTATATCTAAAGGCTGAAAGAAGAACCACCAATCAATAGGACTAACAGTAATTATACTCATTTCACACAGAAAGCAAACTATATGGCAATTCCATTAAGTTCATATTCCATTAATACTATTACCATAATTGATTCTGCAGAGCGAAAAGATATGCATCTTGTATCTTAATTGTTGTAGTTTACCTTCGACATTTATTCTTTTCAAATCCCAAAGTAGTTAGGTTTGAAGATATCAAGCATAAACTATCTTTAAAATTCCATAGCTCTCTGAAGGAGAGGTCAGCGCTTTCAACAACACACCTTCTAAAATAGAAGGTTCTTTCAACGCTGTACTCCTTATGCCACTGTACCTGGCATGGAGCAGACGTTCAATAAACACCTTTTCAATTAATTGATAAAACTGCTTGAAAAATCACTCCAACTTAAGAGAAAAGAGAAACATTTTTTTCCATGGTATAGATTTATGTTTATTCTTTCTTTTATTAATTGTTGAGCCCAGGAACAGAGCAATGTTTTATTTTCTCTATAAATTACTCAGTATTTCCATTAAAGAACTTATGCTCAATGGATTATCTGAACACATCTTGGAATAACTCCATTAACTTGGTATTCAATTGAGCAGGACTACTTATAATTTTATTTACTTCTAACATATTCTGAGTGGCAAAATAAGATTTTTGTTTGTTTTGGTTTGGGGGCCACACACAGAAGTGCTCAGGGCTTACTACTCCTGGCTCTGTGCTCAGGGTTAACTCCTAGGAGTACTCAGGGACCACATGGAGTACCAGGGATTAAACCAGAGCTGACTACATGTAAAGCAAGAATCTTACTTCCAGAACTGTCTCTTTGCCCCCCCCCCATAAGAAATGTTTACAAAATCAGGAACAGGGGAGATAGTACAGGATTAGAACGCATACAAGGCACTGGTTTAAATTTCAGAACCACAAGGGATCCCAAGAAGTGCTAGGTAGTAGAAGTACAAGGCACTCCTAGAGTGGCCCTAGTGTTCATCAGTACTGCAGGGCTGAGCAGTACCACATCTCTGGGAACTCACACTTAAGCAAACAGCCCAATTGGCAGCCAACTGTAAGGATAATTAAATAATTCATTTTGGACTTGAGAAGACCTTGTAGCTAATTAGTCCAATGTCTTTACAAATACAGAGCCAATAGCTAAGAGCTCCTGGCGACACGGCTAATTAAATAACAAGAGTCCAGCGGAAGTGGACTTTCTATTCTGCTTCTGTTGTAAAGACAGCTCTTACTCCATTTTCCTCATCAGTATGTTAACAATGTAAGTTCAATAAATAAAATTTTCTACATTAGATATTTCTTAAATAATTCAAAGCTATCAAAAATTTTATAATATAGCTAATACTGCAATGAGGGGGGAATGACAAATTCTTAGCACATTTACAACTTATTTTTACTATTTACCGCTTACTCTGAGCAACTTTGTTATTGTCAGAATTTTAGAAAATGAAGAGGAAAATAGAGTAAGGTAAAACTAAAGTGGGCTTAAAATATATCTGTTTCCTATTACAAGAAAGATGAAAATTTCTATTAACATAAAGCCTTCATATATTTAATCTAAGTTATACAAATACAAAACTTACACAATCTTTACAATCTGACAACCACTTACTCTATTACAAAAGAATATTAAATTGCTTGGATTTTACTTCATTTCATTGAAAATGAAATGAAACTTTCCAATTTGGAGAAGATTCCCAATATTCCTGTCCACTGTTCTCCCATTGTTCATCAATTTGCTTGAGCGGGCACCAGTAACATCTCCATTGTGAAACTTGTTGCTACTGTTTTTGGCATATCGAATACTCTCGGTAGCTTGCCAGGCTCTTCGAGAGGGGTGGAAGAATCGAATCCAGGTCGGCCTCATGCAAGGCAAATGCCCTAACCACTGTGCCATTGCTCCAGCCTCTTAGTCAAACACTGAAAAAATGCTATTTAACTTTATCATTTAACATTTTTGTCTGCCATTCAACTAAACTTTTAATTACAACTATATATACCAAATCTTAGAAAAAATATCATAAAGTGCACATTGGGCGGGGGGGGGGGGGGAACAAAATTACATATAGTAAGAGAGGGTGACCTGTAAAGAAAGACTATTTTTAAAAACATACTTAAGGGTTTCATGACAGTTTGTCCTTGAAACTTTGATATTTCAGTCAAGGAAAATGTTTAATGAAAGTGTCAGTGAAGGAATTAAGTGAAAAAACAATGTATGAATTTGAGGATGAGTAAGAGTAAGCAAGCAAGAACTTTTAGTTATCTTCCTATTTAAGAAATGCATTCTCTTTTCCCATGTTTTTTAGTCAAAAATTTTTATTGAATACACATACACACACACACACATACTGGGTTGGAGCAATATCACAGTGGGTAGGGTGTTTGCCTTGCACGCAGCCAACCCGGGTTTGATTCCTCTGCCCTCTGCCCCTCTCGGAGAGCCTGACAAGCTACCAAGAGTATCCCACCTGCACGGCAAAGCCTAGCAAGCTACCTGTGATATACTCAATATGCCAAAAACAGTAACAAGTCTCACAACACAGATGTTACTGGATCCCGCTCAAGCAAATCGATGAACAACAGGACAGTGCTACAGTGCTACACATACACTGGTTTGTTTTTTGTTCTTTGGGGATGGGTGGGTGATTAGGAGCCACAACCAGCTCTGCTCAGGGCTTACTCATGGCTGTGTTTAGGGATCACACCTCGCAGGGCTCAGGGAACCATATGCAGGGCAGGGACTCTCTCTTTTTCAAGACTAAGATATATATCTTAATAGGTTTTTATTGAGATATCAAGAGTTTACAACAATACTGATATTGTTCTATACTTGCAGTGTGGTTTTCTCATTTCTTAACTATAACTGGATAATATGTAGTATGTCTCAATTTCTTTAGCTAACTTTTGTTGCAGAGTACAATAATAAGAATAACAGCAGATTTCAGGAACAAACATACTGACATGAAATAACAGAAGAAAATGTAAAGACTTAGAACATTGTTATACTTAAAATGGAAATTTTATATTTTTAGAAATTAGCAGATTCAATAATGGTGACATTTTATTCATTAAAACTTCAAATCATATTTAATCAGAAATCTAAAAGTTCTAAAATTAATATTTTAATTAGGAATCTGTAAGCCACCCCAGAATAAATCAAAAAAGCCACTATAAAATTAGAATATAATTTATGTCATAGCAGACTCCAGTAAGTTTTATATTCTAGTATCATTTTGATAGCATTCTTATCAAATCAGCAAAGATACAATTAACTCATTCTAAAAAAATGAGATCAATTTCACTTCCTTATATTACTGCTACTGTAAATGGCAATTACTGCATAAGTGAAATATTTTAGTGGTAAATAGCTAAGAGATGGCATAACATCCAAGGATTTCTTTCTAATATAATGTAAATGAAATTTTTAACATGAAATGTCTAGAGAGAGTAAAATGGCACAAACTTTTGGGAGTGTAATTTTAACATTATTCATGAAAATTTAAAACACATAAATACTTTGACCTAGGAATTCCATACCCATAAGCTGTTTGCAAGAGCATATATGTCTTCTGAAGTACTGCTAATGATGAGAAAAATATTTTAAACATCCTGAATATGGGGCCAGAACCAGAGTACAGTGGGTAGGATGTTTGCCTTGCAGATGGTCTACCCGCCCACACGGTCAATATCCACCATTCCACTTAGTCCCCTGAGAACTGCCAGGAGTAATTCCTGAGTACAGATCCTGGAGTGACCCCTGAGTATCACTGGGTGTGGCCCAAAACCAAACAAATAAAAATTCTAAATGCTCTGAAATATGGGACTTAAAATGCTTCTATGCTCCTAACAATTAACTATATCTAACACACACACATCCTATCCTACACTCTGAAAGGATATACAAAAAAATATCAATACACTCAAATTTACTGAGTAAACTGAGTTACATCTGCAATATACAAGTGCAAAATTGAACTGTTTGGATTTAGGTATTTTCTTTTTCATTACATAAAGGCATCAAACACACTGTTAACAGTAAATCATAAGTTAGTTATTAAAGAAAAGCAGAATTTAATCTAGAAATTACTTTATTTCTTTTCTTTGAGAGTACCTTGATAATATGACCAAATGTAGATTCACATCAGTACTGACCAAATTCTCTAGTAGAGGGACAATTTACTATTTTAGATTAATTCAAAATAATGAAATCTGTAAATAAGAGAAATCAAAATTCACAAAACTTAGAAGAAAGCATATGGCTAAATCATTGTGATCTGAATTAGGCAAGTTTCTTAGGATATCAAAAGTACAATTCACAAAAGAATAAACATCAAAATTAAATTGTGCTTTAAATTTGTATATCAAGAAAATGAGAAAGAGAAAAGACAATAGAATGAGAATTTTAAACCATAAAGGGCTTGCATCCAGAAAATGAAGAATTTGATAAAGAATTTTTACAAAAAATAAGCCTAGTTTTAAAATGGGGCAAAACTGGCTCAGAGCAATAGTACAGCAGGTAGGGTGCTTGTTTTACATGCAGCTAAGCCAGATTTGATTCCTGGTACCCCGTATGGTTTCCCTAAGCACACCAGGAGTGATTCGTGAAGACTGGTTTTGGGTCAAAAAACAAACAAACAAAAAATATAAAATGGGGCAATGGTTCTAAGCACTTTTTCCAAAGAAGATATACAAATTACCAGGTACATGAAAATATACATAACATCATACATGCAATTTAAAGCCATAATGAGTTACCAACTCAAACACAAGATGGTTCCTGAACTTAAAAGACAATTACAAAATTGTTGGTGACATGAAGAGAAACTAGAACCTGCATCACTGTTGGTAGGAATGTAAAAGTGGCTGAGTACAATCATTTTTCAAGGTTTGGCAGTTTCTCAAGAGTTACCATACTATCAATCCTCCTTAGGTAAATACTCAAATGAAATAAAGAAGCATTATATTCACATGAAACTTGTATATAAATTTTATAGCAGTATTATTCATAATAGCCACAAAATGGAAACAATCCAAATGTTCATCAACTGATACTTGGATAAATAAAATCCTACAACTGCGTTTTATTTGGCAATAAAAAGGAATTAATTGCTAATACATGTTACAACATGGGTGAACCTAAAAATCATTATATCAAAAGAAAAAAAGGCAATTACAAAGGCCACTTATTGCATGATTACATTCATACTAAAATGTCTACTAGAGCTAAATCCATAGGTTATAGAAAGTAGACTAATAGTCATTTAGCAGGGACACTGGAGGGAAATCACTGCTAAATGAGGGGTGAATACAAAATGACACTGTGTTTCTAGTTGGGATGATAAAAATACTGAAAAATCCATGCTGATTTTTATACAGTTCTTTGACCATGCTGTAAACCACTGAATTCCACACCCCAAATGGCAACTGAATTATATCTAATTAAGCTGCTGCCAAAAAAAAAGGACCTCTAAGCAGTTTACTAAGGACAAAAGGAATTCAAAGAGCTCATGTAAGCTTACCTTGGATATTTCTTCCTTCCCATTATTTTCTCTAATGAATACCTTTTCTAACTCAGGGCTTATTCCTTCTACATTGCAGGGCACACGTGAAACAGATGATTTTGGCACTGTTATATTTGACAGTGGCATAGGGACTGATCTTGATCCAGTAGCCTAAAAAATAGAAGATAAAGTGGTGTCAAATAATTTTGGTCAAAGAATTCAAGTACTAAAAAGCACATTAAATCTTAAACATAAAAATCAGTTTAATTATTTAGATATATGAAATTAAAGTTCATATATACATATTGAAATTTAAGTTCAAAGAAAAGGTAAAATTGTAATATATACATTTGGTCAGTAGATGAGCACAGTCTTCAGTGCTGCTTAAAATCATTTCCATTTTCTGTTTTCACTGAAAAAGTGTATTTGAAATAATGTAAGTTAAATTTATCCAGTGACTCTATGGTACATTTTCTCTATAAATATTTAAGAGTTTTCCCTATACTGTAACGACTGCCTTCTGGAATTATCATTTGTTTTGTCAAACATTTATTTATTTTTAATTTTTATTAGTGAAACACCATGAGGCACAGTTGTAGACTTACAAATTGTTGTGCTTGGGTTTCAGTTATACAATGATCGAATACCCATCCCTCCACCAGTGCCCATTCTCCACCACCAATGATCCCAGTGTCTCTCCCATCCTCCTATCCTCCCCGTCCCACCCCACCTCTGTTGCAGGGCATTCCCCTTTGTTCTCTCCCTCCTTTTGGGTGCTGTGGTTCGCAAAAGAGCAATTGAGTGGCAATCATGGTCAGTCTACAGCTACTTTCAGCATGCATCTCCCATCCTGGGAGAATCCTCCCAACACCCTTTACTTGGTGCTCCCTTCTCTACCTAAGCTGCCTTTTCCCCAGCATGTGCAGCTGGTCTCCAAGCCATGGAGTGAACCTCCTGGAACTTATCTCAACTATTCTTGGGTGTTAGTCTCCTATTTTGTTACTTTATATTCCCCAGATGAATGCAATCTTTCTATGTCTGTCCTTCTCTTTCTGACTCATTTCGCTTAGCATGATACTTTCCATGTAGTACCACTTGTATGTAAATTTCATGACTTCATCTTTTCTAACAGCTGCATAGTACGCCATTGTGTAGATGAACCAAAGTTTCTTTAACCAGTCATCTGTTGTCGGGCACTCGGGTTTTTTCCAGATTTTGACTATTGTAAACAGTGCGTGCAGCAATGAATATACAAGTGCAGATATCATTTTGACTATACTTTTTTTACCTCTCTGGGATATATTCCCAGGAGTGGTATTGCTGGGTCAAATGGGAGCTCAATTTCTAATTTTTTGAGAATCGTCCATACTGTTTTCCAAAAGGGCTGAACTAGTCGGCATTCCCACCAGCAGTGAAGGAGAGTCCCTTTCTTGCCACATCCACTCCAACACCAGTTGCTTTTGTTCTTTTGGATGTGGGCCAGTCTCTGTGGCATGAGATGATATCTCATTGTTTTTTTGATCTGCATCTCCCTGATGATTAGTGATGTAGAGCATTTTCTCATGTGCCTTTTTGCCATTCAATTTCTTTTTTATTTTTTTCCAGAAATTATTTTATTTATTTTATTTTTTATTAGTGAAACACCATGAGGTACAGTTGTAGATTTACAATTTTTTTGTTCTTGGGTTTCGATTTTACAATGATCAAATACCCATCCCTCCACCAGTGCCCATTTTCCACCACCATGTATAATATCCCTCCCACCCCCATCCCACCCTGCCTCTGTGGCAGGGCAATCCCTTTTGTTCTCTCTCTCCTTTTGGGTGTTGTGCTCTGGCCATTCAATTTCTTCTTTGAGAAAGTTTCTGTTCATTTCATCACCCCATTTTTTGATAAACGTTTAATAAAAACTGATGACTAAGTAACGTGACAACAGTATCATGTTAAGTTCTGCAACACTCAACAATTAAAGTCATTTTCAAATGTCCTTTGAGAAAGTTCATAAAAATTAACCATAACCTTTCACAGCTATCTTAGGTAGATGGTGACAAAAGTGAAAGTCAAGCCCTAAATATGCTCAAGTGATGTACATAACAGAAAATGATTAACATGATAAAAATAAAAATGGCATTTGACTTCTATAATATTTTGAATGATTGAAGTTCACATACATGAGTCAGAATGAGGTGAGCAGCTAGTCACTCATGAATAATAGCTCCCATAATCAGTGCTGTGTTCCTGCCATCTGTGAACTATTGCACTAATATACTTTGTTTTCTATTGAGGCATGAGCTCTTATTTTCATATCAAATGCTTTATGTAGTTTTATGAGTTTTTAAAATAGTTCACTGACTGTGATTTATTTATTTTTCTGATACAAAAATATTTTATTTTAAGGTGCATCAAGACCTGTCAAATTTTTAAAGAGAGTTTGCCAGGAAATAATGGGATAGGGCAATAATGGGGAGCTATTATATCATGGGTACAGTTTTGATGTTGTAAGATGACAGACCTCTAGGTCAGGTAGCAAAACAGTAATAAAAGAATTAGTACTACCTAATACATGGTAAATTTTGTCTTATGAATATCTTTTTCTCCATTTTTTAGTGGAAGAACTGTAATTTACAAAGTTATTTATCGTTGAGTTTTAGGCATATAATATTTCAACACCAATCCCACCACCAGTGTCAACTTCGCTCCATGAGTGTTCTCATACTTCCTCCCTACCCCCAACCCCCATTCTATCCCACCTTCAACTTCACAGACACATTACAAAGTTTCAGTCTCGATGAGAATGTATTTTAGATATATAGCTGTACCATTCACCTATATTACCAGTGTAACTGAAGCCCTGGTCTTAAAACAAGGAAAACTTTAGGAAAAAATGTATATACGTGGACTCAGGCTAGGGATGCGACTCAGCAGTAGAGCACATACACATCTTACATGCTTGATTGAGGCCCTGCATATACAATCTGTGACACTCCCAGGTGTGATTCTGTTTCCACCACCATATCAAAAATGTATGCAGATAATGCATCTGGTCGGTTAAGATCACTTAGCCCACCTGAATTATTTCCTGAGGTCCCTCACATAACAAAACCCGTCCGCTCACATATATCTGTCACGTTTTGTTGCTTTTAGTAAGGTGTCCTTTCACTGCTTTTAGATAAAATCATAGCAGCAAATGATGAGGAAAGTGAATATTTTGAAACCTTGACAAGTCAAGAGATCTTTCTCTGGCTACAAGGGCTGTTCCTCTTCACCTTGGTGTGGACTGTGGCAGGCATGTGATTTATTTTTAAATATAACAAGAGGTAGCATTTTTTCACCCCCATTTTTATGGATGTCTCACAGTACTGCTGTCTACAGTCCTCCGCTCTACCAGCTGAGCTATCGAAGGGCGCCTGGCAAGCTACCGAGAGTATTCAATATGCCAAACACAGTAACAACAAAGTCTCCAATGGAGACGTTACTGGGCCCGCTCAAGCAAATCGACGATCAACGGGAGGGCCTTTACCTTTACCTTTATTTTTATGGATTGCCAGAGTTATTTCCTTGAGCTATCAGTTGCTAAACACTATACAGAGAGCTCCACTTTAACTGCTGTGATTTTATAGAATATTTGGTATTATGTAGAAAAAAATAACTTTAAATGTTTTTTCTAGTGTTTGGTATTGCTTTTCCATACAACTTTTGAAAACAAACTTTTCAAGAAGCAATGCCTGTTATGTTTCCAAGTAACTCAAAATTTGCCTATTACCGAGTAATTTACTATTTTAGAAATATCTATTCTTTTTTATGCAAAGATGTGTTAAGACATGTCTATTTCATATCCATATCCTCAAAACAATGGCTACATCTTTTAAATAGAATTTTAGGCATTTAGTATCCTTCATTCTCTGTTCTAGTGAGTTATTAATTAGTAATTATTAATGACCCAGTAATGTGTGAGTGTGTGTGTGGGGTGTGTGTGTGTGTGTGTGTGTGTGTGTGTGTGTGTGTGTGTGTTGGGTCCTGCCCCTAATAGTACAGTAATGTCCTAAATGATAGGAGTTCTGGAAGTATTTTTAATTCTAGTCTTCTGAGTTATTATTTGTTGTGATAAGGGTTGTATAAAGAATCACACCTAGTGGAGCTTGGATGCCAGATCCAAGGTGTTGGTAGTGGAAAAAAGTTTGAGCCTAGTGCCTCACACATGCTCTACCACTTCAACCACATTCCTAAACCTAGTATTTGGCTTGTAACCTTGGATGATGACCTACATCTTCTAAATTCTTTTGACTTTCCTGGGTTACAGTGGTCAGAGGTGTGTTTGTTTTTGTTATTGGGTCATACCTGGCAGTGCTCAAAGCTTACTCCTGACTCTGTGCTCAGGGATAACTCCTGGGGGACACTGGGGACTATATGCAAGATAAGGCATAGAAATAGGATTGGCTTCACGCAAGCCTTATTTCCAGCCCTCTTGTACTATTTTAAAGTAGACTCTAGAGTCAACTTTCTAGCCACAAACTTTTTAGTATGTAGAGAAAATGATATAAATGATATGATAAATGATAAAATGCAGAACCAAACTACCAAAGATTTCAATGGAAATTGATAACAAGAGTATGTCCTTTTAAAATTAAGTCAGCAATCCAATGTATCTAATAAAAATGCAATGGGTTCTTATGGGAAAAAGGAAGTGAAATGATTATTCTATCAAGTTAAGATGAAAAACTAAGGCATATATGAAATATTGCTTGAAATGTCTTAAGCCAGCTTTACCCACTGCACATTTGCTTTACAAGGGTTGATGTACTCTCATACACTCTCATGTACATACACTCTCATTTTATGCATGCAATTCATTGAGCTTTGTAAATGTATGCAGTCATCCAATTATCAGTGTAATCTACATTTTATAACTTCTATCATCATGCTCTCAAATTCCCCAGGGCCTGTTTATTGTTACCCCTAATATTTTCTGTCTCTATAATTTAACCTTTTCACGATTTAAAATAATGAATCATATATTATACTATGTGACTTAATTTAGCATGATATTTTTGAGATCCAACTATGCTGCTCTTATGTATCACCGGTTCCTTCTTTTTCATCAATTACATGGATGCATGAAATTTACTGTTTTTATTCATTTACTTGCTGACGCATATTTGTTTTCTTTTTTCTATTTAGTAATGTCTCCATAAATACTGACATAGGAAAGTCTTCGTACATGTTTTTGTCTTTGTGTGTACGTATGTTTTTATTTATTGTGTGAAGATATCAGAGTGCCTTTTTTGGACAATATGGTCGATGTATGTTTGACTCTTGAAGAAAATGCCAAACTGTTTTTCATAGAGGTTATAATATCTAGTGTTCCCAGCTGCAATTGTGGCTCTACGTTTCTTTCATTTTAGCTACCTATCCTTAGTTGTAACAGTTTTACTTATTTGCTTTGATTTTCTAATCATATACCCATATTATATACAAATTGTCCTAAAAATGATTTTTTTTCTTGTTGCTCTATCGATTGCCCTTAAACTATCAGCAAATACTAACAATGATTACAGATATCTCTGGCTTCATTTTGGGGAGAGGGGCCTCCCCAGTAGTGCTCAGGAGAGTCAGTCAAGAGGTGTGTACCTAAAAGTTGCATAACAGATAGTGGTGGGTACCACCAGGCCCAGGGTCACCCAAAATAGTGCTTGGGAGATGGGAAATATGTGGTGCCAGAGATGGTACTTGGGTCCTGTGCACACATGCAGCATATGCTCCAGCCCTTTAGTTGGTTTCTGAGGCCCTATAATCAAAATTACTTTTTAGTATTTCAGAGATGCATCCAGTATTTATTGTAATGATCTCACTGCCTTTCCAATTAGTCAAATACCTGTCCTACTTTTATTTATACTTATCATATAAACTGAATTTTTAAAAGCAGGTGTTATTCTTCTCCTCTGATCTTTTAATTCAATGACCTACACCAATACAATTCCTAATGCTAAATTAGGCTTACCTTTGTCAAAGAATCCCTAATTGAGTCTGTGATGAACTACTTGGTTTGTTTGCTGTAATAATTTATGCTATAATTTAATACTATGCCTGATTTAGTAATATTTACATCAATATTTTTAGTAAAAAATTTGTTCTACCACATCATTTCACAAATTTTGTTTCATGAAATATATTAGAATTTATTCCTGGGTTTGAGGGCTCACAAAACTCTAGCTTTCAATTTCTTTTTTTATTTTAATTTGTGGCACCATGTTTCATAATACTTTAATGATAAGGTCTAGCATACAACATGTGACACACATCCTCCAACGGGGTGTCCACTTCCTTCCACACCACTGTGTCCTCCCTCAACCCACCAACCCATCATTCCCCGACTTCAGTTCTTTAGACCAGTTCTCAGGTCAATGTTTTCTTTTTTTTAACATATGAGATAGATAAGGGTTAAGGAACTAATAGAAAGATGATTATATGAAATATGAAACAATGACCAGAGATATCTGATAAGTAAAAGAACTAGCTATATAAATCTATAAAAAGGCTAATATCATCCTTGAAATCACTACACTCTTCTATGTCTATCATTAAAAGAAGACTGCACATATGGTAAACAAAACATATTCTTAAAAACACTTTAACAAAATTATACTTTAACATTACATTCTATAGTAAAGTACTTTCACTTTATAATAAACCCTTTCTAAATGTTATTCAAATTTGGACAAGAAGATGCCTACCTGAGTGTGATTAATTGCAATATGGTTGCCATGGAGAGGTGAGTGACGATCTTTCTCCTTACTGTGCCGAGTACTCTGTTTACTCCGTTGTAGCTGCTGCCTCAGTTTGGCAATCTGCTTTGGGTAGAGGGAAGAGAAACAAGAAAGGAAGAAGAGAAGTGAATACCAATTTTAAGGATATTTTAAATTTTGAGATATAATTTTTCTCCACATTTCAAGAGACATTAAACTGTAATGACTAAACATTTCTAATTAAAATTACTGAAAATGCATTAATTCACTTGTACAATTTAAATAGTGTTGCTGGTACATACATATACTTTATTTCAGATTTGAATTTTTAGTGTCAGAATACATCATTCTTTCAAAAAATTTGCAAGGTGATAAAACTTGTATTTCACACATGCTTGTTGTTTATGTTATTTATTTTATAAATTTAAAAAATGTATTGAGGCCTCCCAAGAAGTTCCCAATCTAATATGAGGGTCTGAAGATGCAAGAGCCCTTTCGTTTAATGAGAGAGCCCTAGGATATGATCTAAGGAGAGTCTGGTGGTATTGGGGAATATCTGGGCCATCCAAGAAAATTGAGGGTTTCTAGAATCACACTTAGCAGTGCTGGGGACCATTGGACCTGTAGCTAGCAATGCTTGGGAGACCATGTGATACAAGGAATTGAGCCCAGGTAAGGCATCTGCCCAGCATGCCTAAATGCATGTACTATCTTTTGGCCCCAGGCCTATTATTTAAAGTCAAATCTAATTCTTTATATACGGGCCTCAGTAAGTTCCCATATTTGGTAAGACAAAATTGATATGGGTTATGTATTAAATAGTTCAACACTATAAATCCCACTCTTGTGGGAAAATAAAAGTATACATTATTAGTACCTTATAATTTTCTGGGCTGGAGTGATAGCACAGCAGGTAAGGCATTTTGCCTTATACTTGGCCAACCCGGGTTTGATTCCTCTGCCCCTCTTGGAGAGCCTGGCAAGCTACCAAGAGTATCTCACCTGCATGGCAAAGCCTGGCAAGCTTCCCATGACGTATTTAATATGCCAAAAACAGTAACAACTAGTCTCACAATTTGTTGTGGAAGTTACTGGTGCCTACTGGAGCAAATTGATGAACAACGGGAGGACAGTGCTACAGTGCTATTGATATATAACTGAAATATTGATCTAAGAAACTTTTGTATCAGAAAATAATTCTCACCATAGTCTTTGCTTCCTCCTCCACACAGAGTCACATAATTCAAATTCTTTTTTGTGGTGAGAACCTTTAGGATCTATACAGCAACTCTGAAAAGTTACTCTAATTAAAAATGTGTACACTGGCGCTACAGAACTTCTCTTATAGCTGCAAGCCAATATGCTTTAACTAACTCCTGATTTTCTCTACTATCTAATCCCCTACATCATGCCTTTCTGTTCTGTTTTTCTGTGTTTGACTTTTTTTTATATCTCACACATAAGTGACATCATACAGTTCCTCTTTTACTGTTTAACTTATTTCACTTAGCAAAATATCCTTCAGGCTCAGCTATATGGTCTCAACTACAATATTCCCTTCTATCTCAAGATGTAATGATATCCCATTATTTATGAATTCATCTATTGATGGACGCTTGGTTGTAGTCACAAGCCTTTTAATAACAAATATAACAGGGCAAATTATCATAAATGGAATGGTAACAGTCTCTGGCTTTAGAGAATATTACAGTATGGTGTGGACTTTATTAATCTTCTAATATACAGTAGGATGTATACATATATATATAATCTGCTTAAAGTACACTAGCCCACCAGGGATAAAATATTCCTGAGTGTTTAAAATGTAGTCATTAGAAATTTAGGGGAAGTCATACGTATTGATATTTTCCTTTTAGAAAAAAAGGTAACATCAACTATTCCTTTTATATCTATAGTGAATCCAGTTTTGTTATTTACTAGGCAAAGTGTAAATACAATGTGAAGCCTGTGGAAATACTGATTTCCTCAGATGTAATTATAATACATTTTAATATTGTTTATAAACTTACTGCAAGAAAGCTATGAAAATAAAAAGGAAAACAGATAATTGCTATTAAGGCCTATAAGTGCTGAAGGGGAAAATATACTGGTGCTGGGGAAGTGTTATTTGTAGCAAACAGAAGAGAAATAGCATGTAAGGAAAAATGGCACCTAAACAAAGGAATAACATATTATTTTTTATATTAATATCCATAAATTCCTGTAAGTTTTTAAAAGTTCATTATAACTTTTAGACTTCTTATGTAATGTCTTTGCAATGAAACACAAATAATATTGTTTAAATAAATATTTGCAAGCTCAACTCTGAAAAAAATGATAATTTTCTTTAGGAAGATAATAACTTCCATGAGAAAAAAAAGTTATAATGCAATCATTACAAATTATGTCAGATTATTCTCTATAATAAAAACAGAATTTCAAATTGTAAAATTATTTAACTATGATGAAGATAAGAAAATGTTTTCTGAATATTAAGGATGTTTTAGTAGTGTTTCAAAATTGGTAAGAGCTTATATAGAAGAGCTCATAATGCCTAGTGATTAATCAAGGTAATTCGTACTTTTCCACTTAAAAAAATAATCTTTAAACTAACAAAATAATATGAAAATGGATCAATCCAAATCTATTTGTAAAGTCATTTGAGACATCAAGCTAAATTAGAAAACTGTTTTTTCACTATGGGTTTAGCAAAATCCTAATGAAAAAAGCATGTATCACAATATACAACCTAACTCTACTTAAGAACATCAACTTAAAATCATACAAACATATAATTTTCATAGTGGTTTTCATCTTAGTAAAATAACAATCTTTTTTACACAGAAAATTACAAATTTTAACAAAGATATGTATAAAATCAAAAAGATAATACTATAAATTCTCCTTTGTTTCAGAAAATAGGAGCTCACTATTTCATTTATACCACTTTCAAATGTGAGACAGCCCTACCTAACAAGTGCAAATACTCTCACTTTCCAAGTTTTTTGCTCAGAATTTCCCTTTCTTTCCCTCTTTGTTGCTGAAAAGATTCTGGCTATCCAAAATCACTTCTTTCCCCAAACCTGACTGTCAGTGGAGAGTAGAATCAAAGGGAAGAAGAGGTAACTTTAGAACTAAAAGTGAAGTGGGAACATTGCATAGTGAGGAAAACACTATGCAATGTTCCCACTTCACTTTTAGTTCTAAAGTTCTTCCTAAGACAAGTTTGCTAAATAAATGTTTCTCAGCTTGGGCCGAGTGGCCCCTTGTGAGGGCCAGAATATTTCAGGTGAAAACTGCAAACTGAGGGCCATGGAACAGACTACAGAGCCAACCAGTAGAAAGGTCACAGGAAGGAAAAAACGTTGGAAATCACTGCTCTAAATCTATATTTCACTGCATCACAACTGGAGCTTTTGAGCTTCAGAGTCAATCAATCCTGGTTACTATGATGAAGGTACAATACAACCAAACTCTACAAAGGGAAATCAGGTTATACTGACTGGATTGTCTTGGAGGGGAGGAGAGAGCCCACACCCGGTGGTGCTCAGGGGTTATTCCTGACTCTGCACTCAGGAATTACTTCTGTGGTCTCAGGAAATCATATGGGATGGCAGACGTCAAACCCAGTTTGGCCACATGCAAGGCAAGCAGCCTACCTGCTGTATGCTCCTGCCCCTAATGACTGGATTTTTTAAAACTAAACTGTAGGTGATTTTACTTCATGATTCAAAACATTCACTAGTTACTGTGGCTTTAAAAATGGAACTGAGGGTGTTATGATAAGCGAAATAATCTGACAAGATAAATACTGCATTATCTTACTTAGATATAGAATCTTAAAAGCTTATGGAAACCAAGTAGGCCGGTGCTTGCCACGGATGTTGGTTTTGTGAGGGGAAGGAAATGGGTGAAGGTAATCACAAGGTACAAATGTTCAGTTATAGGATGAATTAAGTTCTGGGGATTGTGACTAGTTAACAACACTGGAATATATATATATATATATACACACATATACATATATATAATATATTCATTTTAATGTTGGTAAAAGTAGGTTTTAAAAGCTCCCACTACATACACAAAATCGTTATGTATGCTTCTATCAAGTAATACCTTAAATTTCCACAATGTTCACTGTAACTTAATACTAACTGCACCTCACTACTAACAAAAAAAAGAAAGGAGAGTTCTCCTTTTAACATAAAATGGGTTCTAAGAGCATTAACACCAAATTTACATTTTTAGAAGGGGGGATAAGTGACCCTGAATCACAAAGAAAAAAATAATACTTTATAGATAATTAGTATAAATACAAAGAAATAATTAAAATATCTGTGAAGCTGGGAGATAATCCAGGGGTTATTTTAAGTGGGGAATGGTCCCACTTAAAAACTGAAAGCTAGTAATGTATTTATTGTAAATTTTTGGAAACCTGTATTACCCTTATTATTTTTTGTTCTCTCTTCCCCACTGTAGTTCACTTTAAGAACAAAATCAAATGCAACTCAACTTCTACCTTCCAAAGACTGGTGTGTTACTTTTCCTTCAAGACTTGATAGGCAAACATTTCTCAGAATAAATTGTATTCCACAGTAGAGTAGGAAATGAGGAATCATAATTTATATGACTAAGATGTAGCAGTGGGAAGGGAAAGCAGGATTTTGAGAATTTCAGTAAACAGAGCCAACATTAAAATCATGCAGTTTTTTAATGTTCGCCACTTCTCCTAGTAAGGCACTTATCAACAGAGGCAAGTTAACAATTACAGGCAAACATAAAACAAGGTTTTCAGGGACCAGGGAAAGACCAGGTAAGGCACTTGCTTTGCATGCTGCCAATCCAGATTCAATACCTGGCACCACATACCCCAAATACTATCAGGAATGATCCCTGAGTCCAGAGCCAGAAGTAAGAGCTGAGTCCAGCTGGTGTGGCCTCTAAACCCAAACAAACAGCAACTTACAAATCTACTTAATCCCACAAATTTACTGTTTCTATATTATAAAGAAAGTGCTTAAAAATACTCTTTCCAATGTGAAAAAAGATAAAAACAGTTGAACCATTTCTTTATCCTTTATTTCCTAATATCTTTCATTCTA